ATGGGCCTACGATGCTGAGACGCATGGCTACTGGTTTAGCCTTGGTGCAGGTGCTGTCTTGTGGAGGTAAACCCTCTTATCTTCTATTGCACAGTCTAGCGGCGAGGCTGAGGTCTACGCTAGTGTCATGGCGGTACAGGAGCTCCGCTGGCTGACGTTCCTGCTTATAGACTTAGGTGAGCGACTTAGCTTTGCCCCGGTCCTGTACGCTGACAACAGAGCCACGATCCTCCTGTGTTAGGAGCCTCGACTCGAGGGCAGAGCGAAGCACATCCAACTGCGGCACTTCCTCGTGCACGAGCTGCAGCACCGACTCCAGGCCTGCGTAGTTCACTTGGCCTCAGGTGCCAACACAGCTGATATCTTTATTAAGGCTCTTGCGCATAAAGATCATCAGCGGCACTGTGTACAGCTTGGTCTAGTTCCAGTAGCTCCTCACTTGCTACGACCTTGATTGTGCACTTCTCTTATTATATTCTCCTTACTGGCCTTGTGGCTTTTGCTCCAGTGGCCGGACTAGTAGTGCCACCCTGGTTTGCTCTTGTCTCTTTTGTACTCTTCTGACTGGTCTTCAGACCCCTGCCTCAGAGGTTGGATTGGTAGTGCCACCCTGAGCTTCATGTCTCTTGCCCTGCACCGCCAGGGTCTCAGATATCAGACGAAATCGGTCTGATGGTCTGAAAATCAGACTTGTTTTTCTTATTCATCTGATTTTTTTATGGGCTAATTTAATTCGTATGATCGTCCAGATAAGCCATAATATTTCGTCTGAAAGTACAGAATAGGTGTAGACTTCCGTCTGAGAATTCAGATAGTGCGGATTTTTTCGTCTGATACATTCCTCGTCTCCCCATTCCCCCCCCCCCCCCCTCCCCACCCCCCCCCCTCTGTCCCCCACAACCAAGAGTTTTTTCGGCCAAGTCCCAGAGTGCCAGATACATTCCTCCCACACCCCTACACAACCTCCCTATTTTGTTTCTTTGCTAGTTTTCCGGCATAGTATTCCAGACCAGAGATATTCCTCCACATACCCCTCGCAACAATAAAAATTTGGCGAAGTCCCTCATACCTGAGACATTCCTCTACACACCAAACACAACCCCGAAAATTCGACTAAGACCCTTTTTGCGAGATACATTCCCCAACACACCCCTCAAGCCATGTTTTTTCGATGAAGTCCCTCACAGCTAGACCATGAAATTTTGGCTCAAGAGTCAAGACCCTCCCACTCCCTCCCCCCCCATATACCTGTGAGGGTTGCTTGTGTGTGACACGTCCCATTATGTGCGAGTATCTCATGGCCAAACAGAGCAAGGCCCTGGTTCTGTAGGCAGATAAAGTGCGCAGGCCCTGGTCTCTCTCCCCAGGCTCGAGTGCTACAGTGCCGTAAAATTTCCACGCAAAACGGTTCAATGCGGTTCCGCGTGGTCTGACACAGGGTGGTGACTGTCAATGTCCAGGCCCTGTTTTCAAACTTCTTGGGCGCGCCTTTTTTAGACAGGCGTGCATCCGTACAATACGATTTTGACGCAAGCAGATTCGAAGCAGCTGAGAATTGTGATACTGAAACGATTTTAGCTTGACAAGGAACCTTCGAACGCGTTCGTAGGCGGGTCCAAGTCTGGGAAGACATTCGTAGGAACAGGCTCTCAACAGGAAATAAGGAAACGGAAAAATCGAAGTCTGAATTTGCAAGTGGCAAGGTTTCTTGCAGCAAATTTTTCGTCTGAATGTACAAACTTGCGTTACAAAATCGTCTGAAATCTCAGACTCCGTGAATTTTTTCGTCTGATGGTCGGACGAAACTTTGGAACTCCGTCTGATTTTCAGACAGCCCTAAATCCTAGCTGAAACCCTGGGCACCGCCCCTTGTCTAGCCTAGGGGATGTGTCAACATATATTTGTATATATAGGTGAGATAGGTGCATGTGTTAAAGTAAGAACTGAATGATTGAACTAGGAGGAGAAACCTAGAACAAATACTAATTGGTTGTACTCACTAGAAGCATACCCCAGTCTAGCCTATAACTTCAACATATCTAATATGTATAAGTTGACACACCCCCTAGGCTAGACAAGGGGTGAAGCTAAGCAAGAAGCAAACAGCCCAGGGTGGCACTACTAGTCCAACCACTGAGGCAGGGGTCTGGAGACCAGTCAGCAAGAATACCAACAAAACTAGAGCAAGCCAGGGCGGCACTACTAGTCCAGCCACTGGAGGTAAGGCCACAAGGCCAGTCTGACAGGCATATATAATAGAGAGTACACAATTAGGATCCTAACAGGTGAGTAGCTACAGGAACAAGACCAAGCTGTACACAGTGTCGCTGATGATCTTTTAGGTGCAAGCGCCTTAGTAAAGATATCAGCTGTGTTGGCACCTGAGGCCAAGTGAACTACGCGGGCCTGGCGGCGCTGCTGTAGCTCGCGCAGGAGGAAGTACCGCAGCTGGATATGCTTTGCTCTGCCCTCAAGCCGAGGCTCCTGACACTGGAGTATCATGGCCCTGTTGTCAGCATACAGGACCGGGGCAGAGCTAGGCCGCTCACCTAAGTCTGTGAGCAAGAAGGTCAGCCAGCAAAGCTCCTGTGCTGCCATGGCACCAGCGTAGATCTTAGCCTCACAGCCGGACTAAGCCACAGACGACGAGCGAGTGGATCTCCAAGAGATAGCACCCGAACCAAGGCTAAAACAGTAGCCCTGAGACGACCTGAGAGTCTCAGACTCGTCTGCCCAAGAAGCGTCTGTGTGCCCAGTAAGGACCACTGGCATGCGTCCTCCTAGCACTAACCGTATGCCCGATGTACTAGCAAGATAACGCAAAACCCTCTTAGCGGCAGACCAGTGCTCAGGTCGGTGTTTGCCTGTAGCCACAAATCGAGCCAGGATGCTGAGAGGGTATGCGAGATCTGGGCGAGTGCAAGTCATCAGGTACATGAGGCAACCCACCAGCTCTGCGTAGGGGCCACTAGGCTCTACTGGCTCCTCAGGAACAGGAGCGGAGAGCCCATGATCTACAGGTAGAGGTGTGGGCTGTGCGGAGGAGAACTGAAGACCGAACCTCTGAAGGACCTGACGCACCAAGTGTGACTGTGTCAGAGTGATGGTGCGTGCTGCTCTGTCCCTAGAGATCTGCAGACCAAGATAGCGACGCAGCTCTCCAAGGTCAGTGCAGGTGTGTCTCTTCAGCAGCTCAGCCTTAACAAAGGCCAATGTGTCCCTGTCAGCAGTAGCGAAGACCAGGTTGTCTACGTAGACAAGGATGTAGAACGGAGTCTGGCCGGAACGCACAAACAGTGAAGGGCAAGCAGAGGACGGAAAGAACTGCAAGGCTGCTAGCGTGGCACGCAGCGTGTCGTGCCACTCGCGGGGAGCCTGACGCAGGCCGTAGACTGGGTGCCTGAGAAGCCACTGGGTCCCAGGGGGGAAGGTACCAGTGAATCCCTGTGGTCGGCGCAGGTAGACCTGCTCGTGTAGGCTGCCCTGAAGAAAGGCAGTAGAGAAGTCGAGGGAGTGAAGCTCGTAGTCGCGCTGTGCTGCTACGTGTAGCAGCGCCCGAAGAGTGGTCATCTTCGGGTTCGGGGCGAAGGTCTGGAAGAAGTCAACCCCCTCTCGTTGACTGAAACCTCTGGCCACGTAGCGCGCCTTGAAGACAGGCGGCTCTCCAGGGGGGCGCTTCACCTTGAAGAGCCACCGACCATCGACTACGTTCACCCCAGGCGGGGGAACTGCGTCGACATAAGTGCCGGTGGACCTCCAAGATGCCATCTCCTGCTCCATGGCAGCTATCCACTGAGAGGCCCAAGGTCCCGAGGTGGCCTCAGCGTAGGTGCGAGGGGTCGGGATGTCGAAGGCGTCGGGGTCACCCTCAGGGACTAGCAGCATGGAACAGAGATGGGGAGCAGCCTCGGAAAGGAAAGCAAGCTCGTACTGCCTGTCCTTTAGGACGTCATTGCCAAGGGCAGGAGCACCCCCGACGGACAGAGGACGGGCAGGGTCAGAGACCAGAGCGGTAGCGTAGTCAAGGCGGCGGGTAGAGGCGAAGTCAGCGACAGCAGTGACAAGCGCGTCAAGGCGCGAGACAGGAATAGAAGGGTCGGTAACAAGAGAGGCAAGGATACGAGGGACAAGGGGACGAGCGGCACGGAGGTAGTCAGAGAACGGAGGAGGGGCAACAGCAAGGGACGAGGGAGGAGGGGACGGGAGGAGGGGAGGACTAGACGAGCGGGAACGGAGCAACATAGGGTGGGAGCGCATGACAGGAGAGACGGGACGAGCACGGGAGGGACGGCGAGACCAAACGTGGGACGAAGGTGTAGGGTCAGGGGACAGCGGAGGGGACACAGGAGGGGAACGAGGAGGAAGACGGGCCGTAGACGAGTCCGGCGGCAGGAACACAGGACCGTAGACAGGAAGGTCAGCAGGCGGTGGGGGAGACACCGGTGAGCGGTCCGGGGAGGGAAGGCCGAGCAGGCGGAGAGCGGAGACCGGCGGTTACTGCTGCTGCGACGGCTGGGCCGGAACCCTCGGACCGGCAGAGGCAGGATGGCCGTCGGCGGAACCCTCAAGAGCAGCACCCCCAGAACCAACATCCCCAGAGCGAGAACCCCCTCCAACACCAGCAGCACCCCCAGGAGTCGCAGGACGAACACCCTCCTCCACACATTCTAACCTACGCGTGATACCATGTTAAAGTAAGAACTGAATGATTGAACTAGGAGGAGAAACCTAGAACAAATACTAGTTGGTTGTACTCACTAGAAGCATACCCCACTCTAGCCTATAACTTCTATATATCTAATATGTATAAATTGACAGCATGCTCATAGAGGTTACAGCACCATAGCACACAACCTTGCTGTATGGCACAGTTTATTTCATTGCGTTATTCTAACATCACTTTCACTGCCTATTCAGTTTCCTGCTCACTCAGCTCTCTGTTCCTTTGATCTCAACTTTATTGCAATGATTTTCAATGAAACATGAGAAATAGGTGGTTTAAACATGAGAAATAGGTGTTTTAAAGAGTATGAGGCAATATTCAGTAGTTCAAACTCAATACAATTAGAGATTTTATGGCATATAGATGTTTATTACAGAGGGGCTGAGTTGACCCCGTTATTAGCGTGTCCGCCGAAGCAGCACTACGCTTGCGCAACAACGAATTTGCGCTTATGGGGTACGTGTAGTGCAGCGATCACGTTGTCGGACCCAGGAAGCGACACCGTGAAAACATCTTCCGTGGTCGCCTGGGCGCCTGCGATCTCGCTAACAGCTGCCAGCTCTGCGACTGCCGTCTCTGCGATTTCTGCACCCTCCGTAGCGACCACGGTCATCCCCTTCCTCTCAGGCACCCCGTACGAGGTAATAACATTATCCGACCCGGGAAGGGACACCTGGAAAGAAGTGGTCTTTTTCTTGTTACCGCGAATGTGGAACGCCTCGATCACGTTATCAGAGCCGGGAAGCGACACGGATGCAGTGTCATCGTCCGGTGTAGTGGAAGTGGCAGCGGTGCTAGTGGTGGCAGCGGTGGTAATGGTGGTGGCAATGGCGGTGGTGGTTGCATCGCGGTCTGACTCGTCAGTGACAACCACGACGTTGCTCTCCCTGTGGGGCACGTGGGCGGCCCAGATCTCGTTGTCCGAACCAGGGAGCGACACGTGGAAGGTGGAGTCGGTGTCGTCAGAAGCAGGATGCACAGAGGAAGCAGAAGAAGCACTAGAAGCGGCAGTCACTGCCGCCGAGTGAAAGAGCTTCCAGGAGTGGCTTTTCCTGGACGGCGTTGCCTCCCCCTCCGCTGCCTCTTCGTCGCTCGCGTCGACGACGACAACGCTGCTCACCGGCCTCGCAGGGACGCCGAACGCGACGATCTCGTTGTCGGAGCCGGGCAGCGACACGCTGAAGCTACTCGTGGGCTCGGTAGCAGCCACGTGGCGCTGGGGCTTGCGGACCGCAGCGATGACGTTGTCGGAGCCGGGAAGAGAGACGGACGTGACACTGTCGGCGTCGTATTCGGCAAAATCTTCCTTCAGGCTGGATGCCTTGTTGGAGACGTCGCGTCGCGGTTTCTGGACAGCCGCGATGACGTTGTCTGAGCCAGGCAGGGAGACGGACATGACATTGGTCTCCTCCTCATTCGCCGCTTCTGCGACGTCCTGGGTGTACTCGCTCGCTTCGTTCGCGAGAAGTCGCGAAAAGACGTCGTCATCGTAGTCATCGTTTTCGCCAGCGGGTTCCGCGGGTTTCGCCGGCTTGACGTGGATGCGGGAGATGATCAGATTGTCGGAGCCGGGGAGCGACACAGTCGCGTCCACGTCAGCAGCAGAGGGGTCCACGTCATCCTCGAACGGAGCAACTTCGGGCGCATCGACTATGGAGCTAGCAGGCTCGTCAGCAGGGTGAGGAGCATTGCCTGCCTCGCCTGGCGAAAGAGGAGCAGGGAAAAACGTAGGAAGCGGGTTGGGTGGGGGTGTCGAGAGTTAATGGCGATCAAGCGTGAGTAGAACGGGAATGTAGTGCGTTAGGGAAACGCAGGGCAGGAGGACACCGAAGAAGATGTCAGACGAGTGGCTGGCATTTCCAGATGCAATGGGGGATACGATCCTAGACTAGTTACGGTCACTTGAAAAGCCCCTCACCTTCAGAGGCTTGAGCGGACTCTGGTTCGGAATCGGTGGGTAGGATGACGCCTTTCGCGCCGGCATTCCAGGCGGCAATGGCCATGCGGCGGAGGGCGGACGCGGAGAATGCGGGCTGGCTCGAATCTGCGCTTGAGGCCTTTGGGGTGATCGGCCGAGAGCCGTGAGAGAGTGTCGCGCCGGCAAGGAGGCAGAGAACGAAAATCGATGCTGCTCTGTGAGCCATGGCTTCCCTGATGCTTGTTCTCGGGAAAAACTAGAATCGTATGGGCCTCGAGCGGAACGCGACTGCTGGTTGTGACAGAGGGAGTGGAGACGAGCCTGATAATGGTGAGGGGAATTACAGAAGAACCAAGCTGATTAGCGTGTATCGAGCTGTTGTCGCCCGACTCTAGCTGTTGGCTTTGGAACCTGGAAGGGAGGTGATGCTGCTGGACTTTGCCTACGTCGGCTTTTCTAGTATCTTGAAACTGGTATTCCAGGCTGAAATCTCGCGCAACATGGCTTGGGGGTCATGCTTGCCTGGGCTGGCTGGGTATGCTGGCGGTAGTACGTGTGTGTTGGGGGGGGGGGGGATTTCCTGCATGTGGCGCAGCGACATGACGATTTGCTTGAGGGACGATGGGTTTCGCTCGCCAGGTGAATTTCATGGCGCCAAACTGTCGGGCGAAACTTGCTGGCGAAATTCCGAGTTTCCTTTAGAGAACAGCGACCACAACGGCCGGATGCATACTGCCCATTGGGCCAATGTCGAAGCGCCTCTTCGTGCGACTCGCTGGGCCTAATGTGGCCACTCGCACTCACGTCGGTCCCAGATGGCAAGCATGGGAACAGGTCACGGCTGTGTCGCTTTATACAGCGTATAAAATGCACGTGCCTTGTGCACTCGCATGTATTATTCAATAGCACAAGTATTGTTTCCAAGTTCTAACATCCTACATAGCAAGTAGAACACGATTCACGGTATAACACGCCCGCATATGGGGTCTGACTATGAAGGCGTTTCCATTTGTGAACGAGAGCTGACAGCGACATGACGTCGTCCTCGTCAGAAATTCGAGCGTCCACGGCTGCATTTCGGTAGATCCACCAATCCCTGCGACCTGCATAGGAGTGTGACGTGGAAGCGCGTGCCTGGAACTGTAAACTGCCAACATCTCCAATGATCCAAAGGCGTGTCTGAAGAGTACATATGTAGAACGTTCATTGTGGTTCATTGGAACGTGAGTCACCGAAACTAGTGCACAGAGCACTTTCCTCAAACGAAAAGACGAACAGGAAACGCGCTCTCACAACACTACCTCCTCTGCTTGCTGCTGGTACCCGCTCTCAACCATTCCTCTCAACCATTCCCCTCAAACCTTTCCTCAACCTTTTCTCAGCTGGCCAAGAGTTTCTCCTTCATTCATGCTACACTCCTAGTACCTTGAGTCTGCCTAAATGACACTCCTAGATCAGACCGTACTCGATCTTCAAACACCAGATGCTCTTGTCGCTTCCGTTCCCTGTCGTCCCGATTTCGCAATGCCCAGCCGCCATGCGAGTCACGACCGAGTGCAGCAGCTCTGCTCGAGAGTTACAAACGCCTCCTCTGCTTCAGGTCCAGATCTCAACGGCTCCTTTCCCCAGGACCCTTCAGATCACAGTGCTTTCTCTCTCCAAGACCGTCAAGATCCTAACGGTTTTGACGGTTTGGGATGTTTCGCCGTCTCCCTGCCGACGGAAAACGTGTTCGCGACTAGCCTACCCCCCGACGGCTGTCTGCTAGAGCTGACGGCTAGGGGGTTGGAAGACATTCTCGCGACTCGGCTTTCGGCAGCTGACCTGGCGGTGACGTCAAATTCTATTCCTGGTCCATCCGTTCGAAGCGCGAGTGAGGATCTTGCCGCTGGCGTTGCTGCTGACGTGGCAAAAAAGCCGGCCAACAAGGATCTCGCCAGTGTGTCAGATCCCGACAGCGATTGGATCTTGCGGTCACGTGACTGGCTGCTTGAATCGCGGGACTCGCTATTGGAACGCAAATACGAGGTCACGGCATTTACCACCCGCGAAGTAAGGAAGGGATTCGTTTATTTCTGAGAATTGAGACCAGGTAATATGGAAGCCAGGTAATATGGAAACCAGGTAATATGGAAGCCGGGTTATATGGAAGCCAGGTAATATGGAAGCCAGGTAATATGGAAGCCAGGTTATATGGAAGCCGGGTTGTATGGAAACCGGGTAATATGGAAGCCGGGTTATATGGAAACCAGGTAATATGGAATCCGGGTTATATGGAAACCACTACGCTGACCGATCCGAAGACCATCCTCGTGATAGCCTTTTAAAAGGACCGACGTCGCATTCTCACGACCAGGCTTTTTGGGTCCGCGCATACTTCTGTAACTCGCGTCTGCCCGCCACTTGCTTATCAGTCCTCCTTCGTCCCCTCCTCCTCTCCCCCCAACCCCATTCTCCCCCTCCTCTCCCCCCCCCTTCCCGTTTATGCAGGGCTTGGACCTCTGGTCCCTCGCCGCGCAATGCGCCAACCCTTACGAGCTCCTCGCTGACGTGGCATCGTTGAACCCCATAACAGGATCAAACAACCCGCCCGCCTCCTTTCCTTCGCCCTCCCCCATCGGCGCTCTTCCCCAGCACCCCACCTCTCCGCCAACCATCACCGCTTCCGCCTTACCTTCCGCTTCCGCCTTTAGCTCTTCCCCGCAAGCCTTTACAGCTTCCCCCGCCCCCTCCGCCGCCGCGCGCCCCATCAGCCGTGCGTTTTTCAAGATGGTCGAGATGACGCGGCTCTTCCGCCTACTGGGGGGCGGAAAGGGCGGAAGCGCCCGCTTTCTGGAGGGGGAAAACGGGGGAAGCGCTTCCCCCGATTCCCGTCCGCGCACGTTTGTTTCCGCGCATCTGTGTGAGGGGCCAGGGGGGTTTATCCAAGCGGTGCAGCTGCTGCTGGCGGAACAGGCGCGGGGGAAGGGAGAAGGAGTGGCGGAAGGCGGAAGGGGAGGGGGATGGGGAGGGGGATGGGGAGGGGAACTGCATGGGGAGGGGGGGAGGAACGGCGGAGTGGAAGGGGGACGGGGAGAAGACATGGCTTCTTCGCAGCAGCACTTGTGGTTCGGAATCACTCTCCAAGGCAAGGCTGCTGTTGGCTTGGCTGGAGGTTCGGTTGCAGGTTCGGGTGTTGGTGTGGGCTCGGGAGTAGGTGTGGATTTGGGTGTGGGTTCCAGTGTGGGTGTAGGTGAGGATGGGCGCAGAGCGGTAATGCAAGGGCATGGGGGGAGGGGAACAGTCTACTATGGGAGGGGACAAGGGGGGGGGAGAGGGGGGAGAGGGGGGAGAGGAGAGGGGGGAAGAGGAGGAGGAAGAGGAGGAGAGGGAAGAGGAGGAGGTGGACAATGTGGGGGGGCAGGAGAATGGGGAGGGGGAGCGAAGTGTGTGAGGGGGGGAGAGCAGGCGGAGAGCGGGAGTGGCAGGGGGCCCCCGAGGTCACAGGCGATCCCAGTGCCTGCCGCCAGCAAGGGGCGCAGAGGCGGTGGGAGGAGCGGCAGCAGCAGCCCTAGCAGCAGCAGGAGCAGCGGCAGCTGGGGCAGCAATGGTAGTGGTGGTGGGGGTATCGGCAGCGGGGGCAGCAGCGGGAGCAGCGGTGGTGTGTGGAGGGAGCAGCCGCTGCATCGGAAACTGCAGCAGCAGCAGCAGCAGGGAGGGTTGCAGGGAGGGTTGCAGGGAGGGTTGCAGGGAGGTAAGGTATGCAAAGGGAAGAAGAAGGGGAAGCAGAAGCGGCCAAAGCAGAAGCAAATTACAGGCGAGGTGCAGCGCTCGCCTCTGCGGCCCGTGAACCAGCAGCCCCCTCTGCTGCATGTGGACCAGCACCCCCCTGTGCGGCCTTTGGACCAGCACCCTCCTCACCTACCACTGCTGCCTGTGCTGCTCGCTGCCGTTGCTCCCAGCAGCAGCATCCACTCGCCTTGCCCTGCGCCCTCTGCCTCTGCTGGCCGTGCGCCTGACTTCGTGCTCGGACTGCTGGGGAGGCAGGGGGACGGTCAGGGAGGGGCGAGTGTGGATGGAGGGAGGGAGCAGCAGTATAAAAGTGGCGCAGGCATTCTGGGGAAGTTTGGTGGACAGCACTACAATGGTGGGCTCAAGAATCGCGCTGGTGGTGATGGTAATGCTGCTGCTGCTGCTGCTGCTGCTGCTGCTGCTGCTGAGAAGTTTGGGCAGCACTCCAGGGAAGGGGAGACCGGGAAGGAAGGGGGCAACAGTGCCGTTGTTGGCTCAGACAAGGAGAAGGAGCAAAGGGACATGGAGCGCTGTGCCCTTTGCCAGCCTACGCACTCCTGTGACTCGTTACAGTCACCCCCACTAGAGCCACACCTCGAGGTGCCTCTCAACACAGTCACATCCCATTTGCCAGCTAGCACTCCCAACTCAGGCGACTCACATTCACACTCAGTAGTATCATCCCCCATCAGCTTCCAGTCAGCTTCCTTCCTCTCCCATGGCCACGTGCTATATGGGTTGGACGGCACAGGCGACCTGACACGTCACGCCAACGTGACAGCCTTTGCTGCTGACGTCATCAGAGGCAGCCACGTGGACTGCCAGGCCGGCAGAGCTGGGAAGAGAGGGGCAGCAATGGGTGCGGAGGGGCGAGAAGAGGCGCTGCTGGGTAGCAAGGAAGGCGCGTTTGAAGCAGGAGTGCGTGAAAATGGCTTGAGTGAGGGAGGTGCAACCACTGGTCTCGGTGGGATGGGAGGAGCAGGGGCGATTGAGGGAGGGAGAGGGGACAAGGGGGAGGGGGAGGAGGGGGGAGGGGCGGAGCTGGTGACAGCGGATGGTGGGCTGGACAGCTCGGTAGACTGGGACAGACAGGAGGCCATGCACTCACGCCTTGTCTTCTACCAAGCCTTGGCGGCTCTCAAGCTGCTGGTGGGTTACCCATGGTGCTCCATCCATCGCCATTCATCGCCATTCGTTGCTATTCATCTCAATTCATCGCCATCCAACCCCATCCATCGCCATCCAAACCCATCCATCGCCATTCATTGCCAGTTTCTTTCCTAACCTCTTTTCAGCCCCTCGCTGCGTTGACTTCCTCCCCCCCATGAGGCACCAGGAGGCACGTTTGTCCTCAAGCTGCTGGGCTCCTCACTCCTCTCCACTGCACCCCTCCTCTCCTCGCCCTCCTCGCCCTCCTCGCCCTCCTCGCCCTCCTCGCCCTCCTCGCCCTCCTCGCCCTGCTCCCCCTCCTCGCCCTCCTCGCCCTCCTCGCCCTCCTCGCCCTCCTCGCCCTCCTCGCCCTCCTCGCCCTCCTCGCCCTCCTCGCCCTCCTCGCGCTCCTCGCCCTCCTCGCCCTCCTCGCCCTCCTCGCACTCCTCGCCCTCCTCGCCCTCCTCGCCCTCCTCGCCCTCCTCGCCCTCCTCGCCCTCCTCGCCCTGCTCCCCACCTCGTTCCCTCCTCATTTCCCCCCTCTCTCTTCTTCCCCCCCATCAGGCACCAGGAGGCACGTTTGTACTCAAGCTGCTGGGCTGCTCATTCCTCTCCACCGCACCCCTCCTCGCCCTGCTCTCCCTCTCCCTCCACCTCGTTCCCTCCTCATTTCCCCCCTCTTCTGCCCTTCCCCCCTCTCAGGCACCAGGTTGCACGTTTGTACTCAAGCTGCTGGGCTGCTCTCTGCAGTCAACGGCGTCCCTCCTCGCCCTGCTCTCCCTCTCCTTCCACTCTTCCGCCTCGTTCGCCTCCTTTCCTTCCTCACTTCCCCACTCTCCCTTCACCCTTCCCTCCTCTCCCCTCCTTACCCCATCCAGGCACCAGGGGGCACGTTCGTTCTCAAGCTGCTGGGCTGCTCGCTGCAGTCAACGGCGTCCCTCCTCGCCCTGCTCGCCCTCTCCTTCCGCTCCCTGCACCTCGTTCGCCTGCGCTCCTCCCGCGCCTGCAACGCCGAGCGATACGTGGTGGCCCGGGGGTTCAAGGGGAGGGGCGCGGGGCCCCACAAAGCGCAAGAAGATGGGGCGGCTGACAAGGCAACTGAGATGTCAAATGGAGCTGGAACGCACAACATGCCTGATGCACAGAGGAGTAGATCACACACCTCACCTTCACCTACCGACTCTCCCTCCTCTCGCACCCCCCTCTCTCCCTCCCGCATTCTCCTCGAATTGGAGTGCATAGCTAAGCAGTGGGAGACGCTGCCTGCTCCCCTCTCCCCTCTCCTCGCTCCCTCACTCACTCTCCCCTTCTCAGACTCCTTCCTCCGCCCCCTCCTCTCCTTTGAGGCATGCATGCAGCAGCAGCAGGCAGAGGCGATGGGCACGGCGTTGCTTGAAGGGGAGCAGCTGGCAGAGGGGATACCGAGGGGGCCGGCAAGGAAGAGCAAGTGTTACAGGACGAGGAGGTTGCTTTGGAGGGAGGAAGAGGAGAGGAGGAGGAGAGCGTGTTTGCTGGCTAGGGGGCTGGGGTTGGACGTAAAAGAGGGGATGGAATGAGTGTGAATAATCTTGGATGTGTAGACCACGCATGCATTTCGTGCAGGCGAGCGCTGCTTACAGGGGAGCAGATTTTAGAGGGGATATTGAGGGGGGCGGCAAGGAAGTGCAAGTGTTACAGGACGAGGAGGTTGCTGTGGCGGGAGGAAGAGGGGATGAAGGAGAGAGCGCGTTTGCTGGCTAAGGGCGTATTCCTGTGAACCAGGATCAGGATAAGAATCGTGCGGTACTGTGCGGTGCAAGAGCTGAATCACGTTTCAGTGCGGTTCATATTGGTTATGCGCGAGTCTGATCCTGATCTCGCTGCATAGGAATATGCCCTGAAGGGCTCGGTTTGGGCGTGAAGGAGGGGATGGAGTGAGTGTGAGTATGCATGTGTTGTGTATATGTGTGAATAGGCCGGAATTTTGGCGTGGGTAGGCATGTGTGTGTGCGTGCTCGTCATGTGTGTTATGCAGTGTGAATCAGCATGTGTGCATCTATGTGAATAGTGTTCAAGTGAAAGAATGTCTAGAACAAGGCATGCAAGGGAATATAACCTAATGGGTTGTACTCCCTAAGGCACAACCCTACATAGTTTACAGAAACATACAATATGAGTTTGACACACCCCCTAGACTTGATAGGGGCAGTGCCCGATGAGAGAGAAACAGCTCAGGGTGGCACCAGGGCTGTCGTTATCAAGGTATTTTACCCTGATTCCCTGATTTCACAGGGTTTTTTTTTGCCAACCCTTAATTTTCAGGGTTGGGCTTCTTTGAACCCTAACCTCTTCAGGGTTGTATGTCAGTGAACACTTAGAGTTTCAGGGTTTGCGTTATCCCAAAACTGAGTTTTCAGGGAGTAACGCGTACGAACCCTGAATGCGACATCCATGCGGATCCTGAGTTTCGGCGAAATGGCCCCCTTACGCGTGACGAGTCCCAGTCCAATGTATACGACAAGCAGGCGTCACGTGGAGAATCTGCACTTGGCAACATTCCCGCCGTGTACATGCTGTATGTTGCCATTTCAGCAACATTTCCAAGCGTTAAGTGTGGGATGGTGCACTCCGTCATGCCCCAACATGGCATTCGTGATTCAGCACGCTGAGGATAGAATATGCTGAGCGCTGCAATGTCAGCCTCTGTATGACATCATAGAGCCAATCATCTCTATGCATACGATGCCAGCGCAGGTGCGTCCCGTCGTTGACGGTATCGCCATGGCGATGCGGGATCCTGGATGGGTTATGCACCGTCCATGAAAAGCGAAATCTGGGGTTTCTTGGTCCCCTTCCCATCTTCTTCACCAGCTTCTCCTCCAACCCAGTTTCCTCCTTTTCTTCACATCGCAAATACGAGATGCTCCATTCTTCTTTCTCGTCCACTTTCGTCGCGCCTAGTTCTCGTTTCAATCATATCCGCCGCTACTAGCCATGGCGGATGTAGGAGAGTCTGGTGAGTCTCCCGCCGCCGATGATGGTTCTGGACTAGGTAGGGACCCCCCCGTGGAGGTTCATAGATCCGCTCTAGATATCTTGCGATCTCCCACCGCAGTCGCAACACCATCACAACCCGTATCTACTCCCGCTCCCTATGTACCTCCGCCCGCTGTCGCTTCATCTAGCCGGGGCCCTTGGGTTCCAGACTGCGAGACAGCCACGACCGTGCGTTACACGATCGAGTGTGCTTCAATGATTTCATATGGGAAAAAAGCACGCATCGGGAAGTACACCCAGAGCACGATAGTCCTCGGCGGGAAGCTACGTCGACCGTTGCCTCCTCGCACGTCGCCTGAACCTCAGGCCTTTGCTATTCCAGAACCCGAGCCGCCGAAGCTCTCGAAGAAAGAACTCATCGAGCAGAAGTATCTCATGGTTGAGCACAAGTATCAGACCAGCTGGCTTCCATTTTTCCGTTGGCTTCTGCTAGCGAAAACGAAAGACGGTTACACTGCGTTGAAGTGCAGTGTGTGCAAGGCTTTCGACAAAGAGACAACACCGTACTCCAATAGCCGCGACGGGGTACGTGACCTGCAGACGCAAGCGATGCGGTTCCACGAACACACGTCAGCCCACGAAGTAGCAGTCAAGCGTCAGATGGAGATCGCCGAAGACATCGCAAGCACCCAGAGGCACATGGAGAATTACGCGCGGACTGACATCGAGGGGAAGCGCGTCATAAGGCTCCTACGCTGCGTCGACTTCCTGTGCAAGTGTGATGCACCCATCAGCATGTACTCGAGGCTACTCCGCTTCATGGCCGAGAAGGAGACCCCAGACATTCCGCTGCAGTCTGACGGAGTCTACCTGACACGGTAATGCACTGATTCCAAATACACCATATCCTTCATTTATTTAATAGGTCTAACAACCTCCTTGTTGCTACTTCTGCTACTACAGGTATGGCTTCTGTCAGCTCGTCAACAGCTTGGCATCCTACCTGCAGCGCCGACAAATGCACCACATTCTCGCCTCACCCTACCTCGGCATCAGCTGCGACGAGAGCTCTGACCATACTCACGGTAAACATCTCATTGTTTATCTAACCTTCTTGCGTGCACATTGTGTTGTCATGGAGTTTTTTGCTCTCTTGACCGTCGAAAAGTGCGACGCCACGTCTCTCCTCACCATTCTTCTGGCTCACTTGCGAGCAACTGGCATCAATCTCTCCCGAATCACTGGCATGAGCACCGACGACGCCTCTGTCATGGTCGACCGAGACAATGGTCTCGTCGCCCGACTTCGCGAGCACATCCCCCATCTTGTCTCTTCGCACTGCATCGCCCACAGGTTTGACCGCTTGTCATTTCAGCCGCTTAGGTTTCCTACAACTGCTTGACTAAAGTTCCTGTGTGTGCACCATGCAGGGAAGCCCTGGCGGTGAAGGACGCCGCCACTGCTTCTCCAGACTTCGACATGGTCGACCTTGTGATTCGGACTCTGGTCGATCTTCTGGGACGTTCATGTGTCTAGAGTCAACGCTTCAAGTACCTGCAGCGGGCAATACACAACACCAACCTTGAAGTGCAAGGAATTCACACCGTGCACTGGCTTTCAAGGGGTGAGGCTGTGCGGCGCCTCTGTAGGTCCTTGGCGTTGCTATTATTCTGTTTCATGAGTACGGGCATGAGCTATATGAAGTCGTCATCTATTACAAGTTCCAGTTCTGTCTTTTTTTCCTTCCGGATGTGCTCGGAGTGATGAATGAGCTCAACCTCAAATTCCAGAAGAGGGAGGTGAGCTTCTACCACTGTGCATGTTGTACTTGTTGTCCCATGCATGCACGTTTGGAATCACCCTCTGACTCCACTCCCTTGTCTGCCACTTCCACCAGGTCGATGTCACCGAAGTGACGAAGGACATCGACGAGGCGACAGGGGACCTCCGCCACCGCTACCTGGAGTGCGGAGAGGTGTTCGGTGGGGGGGTCGAAGGCACGTGGCTTTCGGCTTTCTTGGCCATCTACAGGCGCTGAGGGAACAAACACGTAAAGGTGCGGGGTATCGACAAGGACGGCAGCCCAGTCACGCACACCTACACCATGCACGAGAAGCAGATCGACGGGCATGCCTTCCGTAGCAAGTACCCCGATTGTGAGCGGCTCTGCGCGCAGTTTGCGAAGGACACGATAAGCTTCCTGAAGACGAGGATGCTGGACCTGAACAATCTCGCCCTGACGAAGCTCTTCCGCGTGTCGAAGTGGCCCCGGATGAAGCAGCAGAGAGAGAAGAAGCTAAAGGAGTACCTACATGGCTGCAGTGCCTTAATCGACAACAGGCTGCCAGGCTTCACCTTGCAAGCTGCGCCAAAGGAGCTGGTTACGTGGGCGCCATTGATGCTGAGCCACCATGCCGAGGAGGGATTCCATCAAGGCCTGACGAACTACCTCGGCTCGACGGAGTCGACCTTGTGAGTGACTGCTATTCGAAGTACGTTTGTTGCATGTTTTCGGGCCGGTTCTAATGTTCCCCTTGGAAGTTGTTGTTTATCGTTTGTTGACCTGTTGCACTAATGCACTGATCTTGTTCTTTGCTCTCTGTTCCCCCAACCGTTTTGGCAGGTGTTGGCCCAACCTGATGCGCTTGTGGCAGGCATGCGCTGTCTTGCCGCTTAGTACAGTGGAGTGTGAATGAGGCTTCTCGCGGCAGAACGTCATCAAGTCATGGGTGCGGGGCGCGTTGTGCAATGCGCGCCTCAGCGAGCTGATGGTCATTTCCCTGCTGCAGTATGAGATTGACTGGGACGATGCCCTTGAGTGTTGGCGCGAGAAGCTGAGGCGCCCTGCTAAGTCTGTTCTGTTTGCCTCAGCAGAGAGGAAGCGTAAGGCCAAGGCGATTGAGGGGGCACAAGGGAGGGTGGAGGAGGAGGCAGTCCCCGACTACATGGGGGATTGGGCAGAGGATGAGGGAGAGGAGGGGGTAGAGGGGGGAGAGGCTCCTCCTGAAGTGGAAGACAACCCGTTTCTGTCCGGTGACGAGGCAGAGGACGAAGTGAACATGGATGGCCCAGAATTAGAGTTAAGGGTGGAATCTTAGCTAAGGACGTGGAATCTTGTGAAGTCGAGACTAGATAGAGGACTTAACTAAATCTGTAGACTGGCGTAGTGGTGCTTTTGCTAAACTACTAGCTGTACAATCCTAACGTTCTCTTAACTGATTTTTTGCAAGTGCAATGCAACCCTGTTTGTGGCTAGCCAACCCTGGAGGTTTCAGGGTTGCATGTTCCAAAACACTAAGAAATCAGGGAAGCCAAAATTTCAACACAAGGCCCTCAGGGTATTTTTTGTTTTCCATTCGACAGTTCAGGGGGCTTTTTTTAAAAACGTCAGCCTTGGGTGGCACTTCTAGTCCAGCCTCTAAGGCAGGGGTCTAAAGACCAGTCAAACAAGTATAGAAAAGGCAGGAACAAGACCAGGGTGGCACTACTAGTCCAGCCACTGGGAAGAGGCCACAGGGCCAGTCATAGTAATATCCATTAAGGTCTGTACACAATCAAGGTCCTAGCAAGTGAGAAGCTACAGGAACGAGAACTAGTTGTACACAATGCCGCTGATGATCTTTAGGCGCAAGCACCTTACTAAAGATATCACCTGCATTGGCACCTGAGGCCAAGTGTACTACACGAGCCTTGCGACACTGTTGCAGCTCGCGCAGGAGGAAGTAGTGCAGCTGGATGTGCTTCGCTCTGCCCTCAAGTCATGGCTCCTGACACAGGATGATCATGGCCCTGTTGTCAGCGTACAGAACCGGGGCAGAGCTAGGCCGCTCACCCAAGTCGGTGAGCAAGAGGTCAGCCAGCGGAGCTCCTGTGCCGCCATGGCACCTGCGTAGATCTCAGCCTCACAGCTAGATTGGGCAACAGATGAGCAACGGGTGGACCTCCACGAAATGGCACCTGCACCAAGGCTAAAGGAGTAGCCCTACGAAGACCTAAGAGTCTCGGCGTCGTCTGCCCAAGAAGCGTCTGTGTGCCCGGTAAGGACCATTGGTCTCCGTCCTCCTAGCACTAGCCC